TCCCGAAGGACTCAGGGCGGTGTACAGCCTGTTTAAAAACACAAAGAAAACAACAATATAAAATTTAAAATAATTAAATAAGTGGCTCAGATTTAAAACCCCAATAAATTTAAATATCCCAATTTAAAAACTATTGTGTTGTTAGTCCGGCCTGGCGGAACAACAGGGTCTTCAGTGCGCAGCGAAACGCCCGGAGGTCGGAGATCTTACGAATTTCCGGGGGCAGTTCGTTCCACAGGGCTGGGGCTCCCACAGAGAAGGCCCTCCCTCTGGGCGTCGCCAGTCGACATAACTTGGTTGACGGCACCCTGAGGAGACCCTCCCTGTGGGAACGGACTGGTCGGTGGGAGGCTATTGGTGGCAGAAGACGGTCTCGGAGGTACCCGGGTCCTATGCCATGGAGTGCTTTAAAGGTGGTAACTAACACCTTGAATCGCACCCGGAAGACCACTGGGAGCCAGTGCAGCTCGCGCAGGAGGGGTGTCACATGGGCACAACGAGTTGCGCCCATAACCACCCGCGCGGCTGCATTCTGGACCAGTTGGAGCCTCCGAGTGCTCTTCAAGGGGAGCCCCATGTAGAGAGCATTACAATAGTCCAACCGGGAAGTAACAAGGGCATGAGTGACCGTGCGTAGGGCTTCCCGATCCAGAAAGGGCTGCAACTGGTGAATCAGGCGAACCTGATAAAAGGCCCCCCTGGCCACGGCCGTCATATGCTCTTCTAAAGACAGCCGTGCATCCAGAAGGACACCCAGATTGCGAGCCCTCTCTGTGGGGGGCAGAGATTCACCCCCAATAGTTAGCGATGGCACCTGCTGACTATATCGGGGCGCCGGAAGCCACAGCCACTCGGTCTTGGAGGGGTTGAGTCTGAGCAAGTTCTTCCCCATCCAGACCCGCACGGCCTCCAGGCAGCGAGACATCACATCAAGGGCATCGTTGGGGTGGTCTGGGGTGGAGATGTACAGCTGAGTATCATCAGCGTACAGATGGCACTTCACCCCAAAACCACGGATGATCTCACCCAGCGGCTTCACATAAATATTGAACAGGAGGGGCGAGAGGACTGACCCTTGCGGCACCCCCCATGTGAGACGCCTCGAGGTCGACCTCTGTCCCCCTGCCAACACAAACTGCGAGCGGTCGGAGAGGAAGGAGGAGAACCACCGCAAAACGGTGCCCCCTATTCCTAACCCCCTCAACCGCTGCAGCATGATACCATGGTCGATGGTATCAAAAGCCGCTGAGAGATCTAATAGGACTAGGACAGAGGAGCAACCCCTGTCCCGAGCCCTCCAGAGATCATCCACCAACGCGACCAATGCCGTTTCTGTGCTGTACCCCCGCCTGAAGCCCGACTGGTACGGGTCTAGATAGATAGCTTCATCCAGGTGTTGGGAAAGTTGTCGTGCCACCACGCTCTCAACAACCTTCGCCACAAAACGAAGGTTGGAGACTGGACGATAGTTAGCTAATTCAGCCGGGTCCAGGGAAGGCTTCTTGAGGAGGGGCCTCACCACCGCCTCTTTCAAGGCGGCAGGAAAGTCACCTTCACTCAGAGAAGCACCTATAATCCCCTGGAGCCAGCCTCGTGTAACCTCCCGGGAGGCCAGTACCAACCAGGAGGGGCACGGGTCCAATAAACACGTGGCGGCACTAATCTTACCCAGAACTCTGTCCACATCCTCGGGAGTCACAGGATCAAACTCCTCCCAGATAACATTCTCAAGACCTGCCCCGGTCTCCTCCCGTGGACTCATCCAATCGGAGTTCAAGCCATCCCGAATCCGAGCGACTTTATCATGCAGGAACTGCACAAAATCCTCAGCACGACCCTGCAAGGGATCTTCCCGTACTCCCCCCCGAAGAAGGGAGTGGGTCACCCTAAACAGGGCAGCTGGGCGGTTCTCTGCAGATGCGATAAGAGCGGAAAAATGGTTAGATTTTGCCGCTTTTATCGCCACTAGGTAGGTCTTGATATAAGACCTCACCTGTGTCCGGTCAGAATCGGATTGACTAGTCCTCCAAATGCTCTCTAGGCGTCTTTTCCGACGCTTCATCTCTCTCAGCTCCTCAGAGAACCAAGGAGCTAATTGAGATCGGCATCGGGTCAGAGGCCGCAAAGGCACGACGCGGTCCAAAGCTCCAGCGGCCGCCCTTTCCCAGGCGGCCACCAGTTCTTCAGTCGAGTCGTGTGTTAGAGTCTCAGGAAACGGCCCAAGCTCCGTCAGGAACCTTTCGGGATCCATCAGGCGCCTGGGACGGAACCATCTGGTTGGTTCCGTCTCCCTGCAGCGGGGGAAAGCGGTAGGAAAGTCTAAGTGAAGGAGCGAATGATCTGTCCATGACAAGGGTTTGATGTCTAGGTCCCCTCTACCAAGATCATTCAACCACTGACCAGAGATAAAAATCAGGTCCAGAGTGTGTCCCCCTATGTGAGTGGGGCCTTGAACTAACTGGGTCAGGTCCAAGGCCGTCATGGAAGCCATGAACTCCCGAGTCACCTCTGACGCCCCACCTGTGGATGGGAGGTTGAAGTCCCCCATGACAATAAGTCTGGGGGTATCGACTGCCACCCCGGCAATGACGTCGAGGACTACCTATATATTGATGTGTCCATCCACCAGGAACTGAGCTTTGACCTGAGGACGATTTTCATCATTAATACAATTTATTAAAGTATTTCCCATTGCATTATCCAACAATGGTCTTTGTTACACTCCTGTAAAGTTAGTTTGATGACTTCCTCTTCCGAAGCTGAGGAGCTTACTGCATTTCTATAAACTTTAATCATGCAACCACTGATTTTACAGAACATTGCTTTTTTTCTAGAATCGTTTCTTAAAAAATAAAGTGTTCCTTTAAAAACAACTTTAATCATATCATGATTATGCAAAAAAAAAAAAAAAACAGCATGGAAATTAAGCTGCTTGGAGAAGAGGTGTGCAGGCCAATCTAACTAAAAAAACACCAGGCTAGGAAAATAGTTTATGACCCTTTGCGTCATTCTAGGAAATTATTGTAGTGAAGGCAAACCACCAGTTAAGCAGTAGAAACTTGAGTTTTCCCAGCAGGAAGACTCTCCGAGTTAAAATTTCTTCCTGGTCCTCCTATGGATGGTTTTATTCCGCATCTATAAAAGTTGGTGCACCTGCAAAAGCTGAAAGAAGCCACACACAGCTTCTGGGAACGAAGTTGGACAATGAGTACAATGCAGTGACCGAATGAACTTGGGCCGGCTTGCCAGGATGGACAGGGCAGTAAGGAAAAATGTGGGTGGATGTTTGTGTTTCTGATTTTCCTTCTGCTCTGAGCAGCTTCTAGGCAGGCCTGGAGAGCGTGTCATTCATCAGCAGGAAATGGGGCCGTGCTCTCGGAACAATGCGCTGACCTGGGAGAGACTCTATGAAGGGAGTGATAAGCTCTGGCTGTTTATAAAAGGGCACCAAGATGGCAGAGATTGCGCCAGCCCCAAAGGGGTTTATGCAAGGCTATCTGCGTAGCCCAGGATTGGGAGGGGAGAATTTTCTTTTCCTCTTGGGATCTTGCCTTCACTGGAAGGTGTGGGCCAATTTCTAGCCTTAAGGTAGAAGTCTATTTTGCAAAGCACCAGCCACAGGGCTCAGCAGATTATCCCTGAATAGTGCTATTTCAGACTGACAAGAGATTGCTGGGAGCAAATGCACTAGTTTGGTTCAGTCTGTACAAACCGTGCCGTATGAAAGAAAACATAAAGCAATGCAATTAAAAGGAGGGAGAGGGAGAGGGAGAGGAAAGGAGCAGGGGTGCTATTCAGCAGGTTCTGACAGGTTCTGGAGAACCGGTAGCGGAAAATTTGAGTAGTTCAGAGAACCAGCAAATACCACCTCTGGCTAGCCGAGTGGGGTGGGAATGGAGATTTTGCAGGATCCTGCCATGCCCACCAAGCCACGGCCCCAGAACCAGTAGTAAAAAAAATTTGAATTCCACCACTGGAAAGGAGGGTAGTTGAAGCTAGTTTGCACTGACCCCTTTTACTACAGATAGTCCTCGAATTACCACCACAATTGGTAGGTTTCACTTATCTTTGCTACCGAATCGCTCGCACAGAGCGTATTTGATTATGTCTGGGTGGGTGGGCGGAGCCTCCCGCCGCTGCTACTACCAGTTTGCCCGAACCGATAGCAACCCATCACTGAATCGAACCCAACGTTTCTGTTGTTAGGAAGACAGTTGTTAATTGATTTTTGCCCCATTTTACACCTTTCTTGCCACAGTTGTGAAATGAAACACTGCAGTTATTAGTAACATGGTTTCTATTAAGTGAATCTGGCTTCCCCGTTATTTTTGATTGTGAGAAGATCGCAAATGGTGATTTCACGATCCCAGGACACTGCAACCTTCATATATATATGCCAGTTGCCTAGCGTCCAAATTTTGATCAGGTGACCATGGGGATGCTGCAAAGGTCGTCTGAAAACGGTCATAAGTCACTTTTTTAAGTGCCGTTGTAAGTTCAAATCATCACTAAACAAATAGTTGTAACTCAAGGACTAGCTATATATTTTTCCATAACTATCAAGAAGTCTGTACACTTCTTCCTAGCTTGCCTTTTGTTTTTAAAATTGTCATCTTTTTCTTTTTGAGGATCTTATCAACTCCAACCAACCATCACATTCTCCATCTTTCTCTTTCTTGCAAACTATTCACTCTTCTTTTGGCTGGGGAATTTTGGGAGTTGAAGTCCACACAGTTTAAACTCGTCAAGGTTAAGAAACATTGCTCTAGTTTTTCACCATTTCTGTATAACTTGCAATCGCTCATTCCATTTTCCCTATCAAATACAAGAGTTTGGTCTTTAATTCATTAATTGCTAGAGCCATTGTTTCATTGGCTCTTTGTTTCATTCTGCTATCTATCTAATGTTTGCTGCAAATCTTTTGAGTTTTTGACTAACAACACAGCATTATCTGCGAATAAAAATAGAGATACTTTTCCACAAAAGGACATCTTTAATAATCACAAAGAATCATTCATTTTTTATTCAGGACTAAAAGTTTATCCAATTATCTTCCCTTTTTTGGGAAAGGAGATATCCATCATTGCAATGGAAAAAGAGGAAGGGACAAGTTACTGAAAATGGTATACATACACATGTGAGCATAAGATGCATAAACGCATATTTGTTGTGACTTGAAACAGAAACTACTCCAAAAGGACCTTGACAAAATATGCACGAATATGTAATTCTTTTTTGACACAATGGCAAAAGAAAAACTGAGTACATATTATACAGTTAGTCCTCATTTAGCAAGCACAATTGGGTGTTTAGCAAAGCAGTTGCTAAGTGAAATTTTGACTATGCTTATGATCTACTTTTCTTTGCTTTATAGACCTACAAAAGAGGCCTGTAAATGAGAGGATGGCAAAATTACTTTCTTATCACCATCATAACTGCAGTCACTAAACAAGGCAGTCACTAAATGAGGCAGTCACTAAACGAGGATTACCTGTATTTCATTTTGTGCTAAAAAGTTGTTTTTATAAAGTAGGCTCCAGAGTGGAAGGCCTCTCATCTTTTCAGTCTTTGACACGTGATACTAGAATCCTTTTATGTTTATTTTGAATACATTCATTTGAACATATCTATCCTCTCATTTTTTTTTCTTATATGCCTTTTGATTCCTTCTTCTTTTCTCCCCCTGATTTTATTGTTGCTTTTGTTTAATCTAAAAGAAAATGAGAAAGTGGGGCGACCAATTCTGAAATCAGTCAATTTGTTCGAAACGAGCTTTGCCCGATGAGGCCAAATGCGATTTTGTCTCCTGGTGGATTTGGTTCTGGATCTTCAGATAACTGGTTTTTTTGCTTCTGTTTCATCCATTAGGACAGTCCAGCTGCCACAGCGCTTCTTCCTCCTGTACTGCTGCCAGATGCAACCTACGGTCAGTCCAAGAAGCCCAACAGCTAGCAGGACTCCACCTATGACAGTCAGGATGGTGTCAGAGAAACTACCTGAGCAAGCGACACTCGTAGTCACTAGGCCAATGATACTGGCCAGCACCTCAAAAGGAAGTAGGCAGCTGTGGCAGGAGTCTTCTACGCTGCCGGTGGTAGTGCTTATGAGGCGGGGATCCAGCTGGGATTTGGTGCGCTCCAGAGAAACCTCTTCCCGTTCCATGTTCACCGTTACACGGTCGTAAGGCAAAGTGGACGGCAGAGCCATGATGGTTACAAATCTGTGGAGGAAAACAGAAGAGAGGACGTAGGCTGGTCTACACCATAATAAAGGTTTAATTTGAGAAAGGAATCCAGATTTTTTTTTTTTTAATCAGGAAACAGAAAGACAGATGGTCCTTGAATAATGGCTACAATTGGAACTAGAATTTCTATTACCAAGTAAGGCGCTTGTTAAGTGAATCACACCCACTTTTTTATTACCTTTTTTGCCATGATAGTTAAACTGAACGACACAGTTGTTAAGCTTCCTGCATTGACTTTGCTTGTCAAAAGCCAGCTGGGAAGAAAGTGGCAATCACGAGACCCTGGGATGCTGCAACCATTGTAAATATATACTGGTTGACAAGCACCTGAATTTGGATCACATGATCATGGGGATGCTGCAAGGACATGTCATAAGTCACTTTTTTCAGTACCACTGCAACTTCAAATGGTCACTAAATGAATGGTCATAAATTGAGGACTACCTATAAGGAGGGTTGAAAGAAGAAAACCACTCTCAAAAGTTGGCAAGACTGGGAGGTTGGAAAATAGGCTTGGAACTAGTCTGAAGGTGGAAGAAATATTTGTGTTTGCCCTTCACCTCTCCAGAATAATTGGGAAGAGTTGCCCCCTGATAACATGGCAGACACTGAAAATGACAGGTTGTGAATAAGATAAAATAATGGTTCGACTGGATTCAGAATACAGTCCTGTGTTTTATCTGGAATTATGCTTTATCTTTGAATTAAGGGGAAACTTCCTAAATATGAGGACAATTAACTGATGAAACATCTTGCCTTTAGAAGTTGTAGGTGCTTCATCACTGGACATTTTTAAGAAAAGACTCTCCTTCAATCTCTATTCTGATTGATTGATTGATTGATTGATTGATCTCTTAGCTGCTACAGCAGTTACAGCAGCAAAATAAAATTCTTAGGGTCCGAAACAGTAAATTGGTTTATTATTTATCCATCCATCCATCCATCCATCCATCCATCCATCCATCCATTCATCCATCCATCTATCCATGTTTCTATTTATATTCATCATATAGCCACTCAACTCACAAAACTTTGCTAAGAACAAATGTTTCAGGCAGGAGCAATAAAATTCAGGGCCACCAAGAATAGATATAGGTAAGAAAGGACCACGAGCCCAGTTTATATGCTCAGAGGCACTCTTTTGAAACAATTCTGTTGTTAGTGGACCACTCTGATTGGTGGATCTTGAAGCTGGAAGAGAAAGAAGAGAAAACCTGAGGTTTGCCCCTTTTAATGTTTTCCCTGATGGCATTCGGAGGCCTCTGTCAGAGGGGGTCAAAAAAAGTCAAAATGGCACCCATGGCTCTTCTTTTTTGGACACCAACACCCCTCCTGCATACACTCTTGAGAGCCTTTGGATTCCTTATTATTCCCAAATGTTGAAAGATAGATCAGTCATAGGCCTTTTACGACTATCTTTTTATTTTTACTGCCAAAAGTGTTCCACACTAGCGATTTATAGCACCGCTTCAGCCATCATTAGAGTGATATAGCACTAATGCAGACTGGCATTATATCGTAGCTTGGCTGACTCCATAAACCATAAAACTCAAAGACCTTCTAAATCAGCATTTTTCAACCATGACAACTTTAAGATGTGTAGACTTCCACTTCCAGAATTCCCCAGCTAGGAAATTCTGGGAATAGAAGTCCAGACATCTTGAAGTTGCCATGATTAGAAAACACTGATCTAGATAAAGTATAATATGCTGATGGTTTTAAGCTGTTCCTTTTAGGTCAGGAAAAGAAAGATAGGAAATTTGCAAGACTATTTATTGGAGGCCAGTTTCTACAATGCAATCCATGAAAGGATCTGATATACGTTGTGCAATTTTAATCTTTCAAGAAACAGGTTTAAAGATATCGATTCCAAAAAGCTTTCCTCAAACTGATATCTAAACTACAACTTCTTCAGGCATCCCCAGCCAGAAGAGAACCAGAGTGGTTCAATGTTTCTAGAGAGTAATATGTGAGGCATAGCTAGCGTAGGCAATTTTTCCCCCTTAAGCATGAAAAGAATCGAGTGTGGCATTGTAAAGGAGGCTGGAAGCATTTTCAACACACCCGCTTATTGTATTTCCAGATTTTGTTTGTGTGGGTCGCATTTGTTTTTCCAAGCTGGAGACTGTATTGAAAATGTTTCCGCACACGCAGGATATATGTCTGCCTTTGGTCTGTCTAGCTAACCATCAAAATGTTTGGAGAAGCTGAGGGGATACATGTAATAAGTTTATTCAGCAATGGATGAGAGATAAATTATCATCAGAGGGGATTTGGGAGAGGGGAGGAGGAGACATGACAGAAAATTGCTTTTTTCTGCCAGAGAGGAGCTCAAGATGACATTATTCAATAATCTTTTCAACTGAGATTACAACCCTGCATGGGATCCATTCATTCCCAAGGGAAAGTATGGAGGTTTTGTTTTAAAAGAAAAGGCAGGAAGATATATTAGATGAAGTTATGGAAGAAAATTGACAGCAGGCCAGGGATTTTTTTTTTTTTTAAAAAAAAGCCTCACCAGGCCCTGCGAACAGAGCTTCATGGTTGCAAATGGAAAACAATGCTTTTAAAAAGACAAAAGAACGAATTCATAACTGCCCCAACAAAAAGGATGCTGGGAATAAAGAGGAATAGTCAAAAAATTTAAAAGTTCTGGATTCAGAACAACCATCGTGACAGCCATTAGCAGATGTTAAATTTAGATTTTGCAAATCCTTCTCAGAGGATTTTGCTTAATTCTGCACTTTCCACTGTTGTCTGAGGTGAATGTTCAAGATTGCCTGTTTATTTTTACTTCTAGTTAATTAGCAATCTAATTGTGTAGGGTGGCCATCTGAAAAAATAAAGGAAACCAAAGAAGGTCCTTGATAGCTATATTACAGACTGAGTCAGTAAAGGAATATTTTTGAGGCAAGTTGATGCACTGATGGACAGCTGCATATTTGATTCTTTGCAGCAGTAGTAATTCAGTTTAAGTTTTTTTTAAAAAAAAAGTATTCTCAGACTGACTTTGGAAAAAAAGAAACAAACTTATATGGTATTTTCACCGTGCAATTGCTATGCTTGAAACAATTGCCTGCAATCAATGCCTAAATACTCTCTGCATAAATAACTAACAAATATAAATAATAAAAGCAACTATCAGAACTGCAAACCACTTAAAAATTGTGTCCTGAGGGGTTATAAATGAGATTTGCTAGAAAATAATTATGTACGGGTAAAATTAAGCAGCATAGATCATTCAGTGAAACCAAGGGAAAAAGGAAAAGTCAACTGACTTCTCCAGAAAAAAATACTCTCATTTGCAGTTCCATCATCAAAAATAAAAAGTTTGTAGCACAGAAAGTAAACACAATGCTGGCATCAGAATGATGAGCCCAGTTCAACAAGTGATCACATTAACTCTCATTATACTGTTACAGAAACAACAAAATCCAAGAGGATCTAGTGGGATCATCGACCTGTTATTAGAGGATCTGTCAGTTTCAGTATTTCATTATGTTTACAACTAGATCGAGCTGATTTAAGAGATGTCTTCATTATTTATGTATCTTTTATTTTATTATTGATTGATTGTACCTTCTTTTTTACTCCTGGCAGCTGACTGAACAAGTCTGTGCAGTTTTCTTAGCAAGGTTTTCAGAAATGGTTTGCCATTGCCTCCTTCCTAGGGCTGAAAGAGAGTGACTGGTTAGTTTTCTGCCTCAGGCAGGACTAGAACTCACAGTCTCCAGTCTGGTGCCTTAACCACTACCCCCAACTGACTCTATTTATATCATCCTAATAACCATCCTATGCAACAGGTTGCTCTGAAAGAGATTAACTGGCCCAAAGCTTTACAGTTCAGTGGGATGTTCAATTTGAAATATCTTCAAATAAGCCGACATCTGAACAACCATATTTCACTTGCAATTTTGCCTAATGTACATATTTTGAGCAAATGTTTTCTCTAATTTATGCAACCGTGTACGTTATTTTCATGATACTATGCATTTTGTACAGACATTTCCTTACTCCACATTTTTTTAACAGTTGGCAAATTACATTGCAAAATTTAGAGACCTGGACATTTCAAACAAAGGCTGCATTTGGCTTTGAAAATCTGAAACTGGGTATGTTTTTTTTTGCACTGAAAAATAAGTTAAACACATTTCTCCCCCATCCCTTTCACTTGCAGAGAAGTACCAGAAGTGCGATCACACCAGCATGCCACAAAATCTTCAACTTGGATAAGGTCAAACACGTCTTCCCACCCTCACACCTTTTGTGAAGTTGTCAGAAAGAGCTAAAGGGCAGAATGGGTACCATTAACTTAATTTTACCCCTCGATAGCCCTTCCCCTTGGATATATTAAGGTAAACATTTCTCTGTCAGTTGAATTAAATTCAAGGGCGTGGTGCTCGTCTCGGTTTCTTGACCGAGGGAGCAAATATTGTCTGAAGACAATTACTATGATCAAGTGGCCGGCATGGCTACACACCAAAGGAACGCTGTTACCTTCCCACCAAAATGGTACCTATTTATCTACTCGTGTTCGGATGCTCCAAAGGGCTAGGTGGGCAGGAGCTGGGCAAGTAACGGGAGCTCACCGCATTGTGCAGAGCTCGGGTCTCAAATCCAGGTTATCAGCTGTCGGCATCTTTAATCTATGAGCTATCGCACAAGCACACACACACAGAGAGATACAATAGCAGTCCAATTTGGAGGGTGAGCTTTGCTGTGATGTAAAAATCCTAGGGTAACTCCTAAGTATATTCTTGTCCGTCTATTTCTTACTCACCTTAGCTGTGAGTCAGTATTCCTTATAGAGAAATTACTTTCCTCCCATTTGTTCCAGATCCTTAGCGCCTGGCCACAATCCTGCTTTCTGTCTTCTTTGGAATCCACTCAACTCAGCGCCAGACAAAACTCAGTTGGTCTCTCCTGCCAGCTTGGCTGTTGCTGCCTTTGCTGCTGCAGATCTTAAATTTGGTTCCCGGCTCCCCCACCCTGATTTCTGTGTCAATCATCCTGGAATACGGATGATGGACTGATAAGGTGGCAATTAAGGAGTTCCTGTAACTTTAGTGGCCATCGGAGAAACTTGGATACAATATACAGAGTGAGGAATGGAGCACATTGTCCACGGTAGGTACACACCCAGCCAGCCTGAGAATGCTGTAAATAAATTGGCGGACCCCATTCAATAATCTGTAATATATAAATGTAAATTGACATTCTTCTGAGAGAGCCCCTGATAAGCTTCCACGAATTCTTCAGAGCACAGCCTGAATACCAAGTGACTTTAGAATATAGAAGCTGCATCCAGATTTAAAGCTCTCAGTGGGAAAAGGTGGAGTGAATGAAAAGAATAGAAATGTTAAACAGAAAAAGAATAAGAGTTAGCAATATGGTTTCAATTTCATCTTAAATTTTTAAAAAATGTATCATTTTTCATTTTTGTTGGGCCAGGCCTGAGTGAGGTTAGACAGGAGTTAGGGAGACAGAAATAATGAATAAAAGTTGCCTAGATTTAATTTAAATATTAGGAGAAAAAATTTTCTAATGGTATGATCTATACAGCAAAACCACATGTTTGAGATATGGAAATGGTGAACTCTTCCACTCTGGAGGATTATTAAACGAGTCCCAATAAGCCACTTCACAAGGATGGTTTAAATCACGGGAATGGCTGGGGAATTCTGGGAGTTGAAGTCCACAGGTCTTAAAGTTGCAAAAGTTGGACACCCCTGGTTAAAACATTTTGGAACTGAACTAGATTATCACTGTACCCTTCCAACTCCATACACATAGTCCTTGATTTATGCCCAATAGCTTAGAACTCCCTGTTTTCTATTTATCATCTGGTTTTGAAATTCCAACATCAAGAGTGCTTATTGGGAAGTCAGTAACTGGCTCACATTTATGGATGTTTGCTGTATTCCATAGTCACATGACCACTTTGTACAATGTTTTAAAATGCATTTGCTTCTAGTTTTTCACAAAACCAGCCCATAGTGAACGACTGTGGCATTCACTTTGTGGTGGCTACTTTACAACTGCCACTTTTGCTTAATGATTGCCACAAAAAGGTTATAAATTCAGGTCAATCATAAGCGTGGCGTGATTTATTATTGGTATGACTTGCAACCACAATGGGCATACTCCATTACAGTCATAAGTCAAGGACTATCTGTAATTATCTTCTATATTGTACTTGCTTTCAAAGATTTCACTTAAAAATAAGTGGTGCTTATCTGGACAAGCAAGAGCAGCTTTACTTGGTCCCAATCAAAATCAATAATATGAATCATGATTAACTTTAGAACTATTGATATTTTAAGGATGATTAAAATTGAATGCAACCTACAAAGTTCCCCATAATTTTGAATGGCCCAGGTGATACAGTAGATCCATGGTGGTAAAATAACTTGAGCGCAAGTGCAATAATTTCCATCGATTTTTTGAGTTTGCACAGCAATCAATCAAAACCAAGCTAAGTTCTGTGCAATGTGTAAACCCAGTCAATATTGGCTAGATAATTGATCAGGTATAAACCAGATTTCTAAATCCCAGGTCAGATCTAGAAATTCCAGAGACCTAACCTGAAACCTGGTACTTCATTAGCTTCATTTTGTTCTTTGTTCCCACAATATGCAGAATAAATCACATCCTAATTTTCGTAGGATGCGGAAATGAAGTTGAACTGAGTTGGAAGGGACCTTGGAGGTCTTCTAGTCCAACCCCCTGCTCAAGCAGGAAGTCCTATACTATTTCAGATAAATGGTTGTCCAATCTCACCCACAACTTCTGGAGGCAAGTCATTCCAGTGATTAATTGTTCTACTTGGCAGGGAATTTCTCCTTAGGTCTGAGAAAGAAAGAAAGAAAGAAGGAAAGAAAGAAAGAAAGAAAGAGAAAGAGAGAGAGAGAGAGAGAGAGAGAGAGAGAGAGAGGGAGAGGGAGGGAGGGAAAAGGAGGCAGGGACTGGAAATTTTTCCTTCCCGTCTTTTCCTCTCCTTCAGCAATGTAAAGGAAATTTGTCACTACTGCTTATACTGTACATGTACACACGCACACACATAAACACACAGGCACTCAGCTGAATCTTAATGGATTTCATTTGACATTAATACTGTTTTACTGACAGATCTGGGAGGGCAAAGAGGATTGAACATATGGTCAAAAATAGCAAGGGACAGCCAAATTAGCTGCAAACCAAAGCAATTAACCTCTTGAGTATGTCGAGTTTTATTTATGTGTAAAACATCCATCCTGCTTTGAAGTTTGAAGGTAGCATGCATGTAGCACTCTGTTTGGGGAGATTTTTCACAACAGTCCTGTGGGGCAGCTTTGCTAAGAGAGTGTTTAAATGGCCCAAAGCCATTTAAATGAGCCTGAGTGGTTAAGAGTGACTTGAATCCAGGTCTCTTTCTAACCACAATGGCATACTACCTCAAAAAAAATGGTCTTAACTGAGAAATTGAGGTGGGAAGTTTGGGAGTGAATCCCTTGATGTCTCCTGGCCAAACTGAAGAGCCAGAGAAACATGATTTCACTACACAAGGGGGGCTTAGGGAACTGGAGGCTAAAATGTATGAAAAACAGTTGCTGGAATTGGGTAAAGGTAAAGGTTCCCTTCGCACATATGTGCTAGTCGTTCCCAACTCTAGGGGGCAGTGCTCATCTCCATTTCAAAGCCAAAGAGCCAGCGCTGTCCAAATACATCTCTGTGGTCATGTGGCTGGCATGATTAAACAGCAAAGGCACACAGAACGCTGTTACCTTCCCACCAAAGGTGGTCCATATTTTTCTACTTGCATTTTTTACGTGCTTTCGAACTGCTAGGTTGGCAGAAGCTGGGACAAGTAACAGGAGCTCACCCCGTTACGTGGCACTAGGGATTCGAACCGCTGAACTGCTGACCTTCTGATCGACAAGCTCTGCATCTTAGCCTCTGAGCCACCACATCCCTGGAATTGGGTATATCTAGCTTAATGGAAAGAAGAACTAGGGGTAACATGATAACAGTGTTCCAATATTTGAGGTGCTGCCACAAAGAAGAGGGAATCAAGGTATTCTTCAAAGCACCTGAAGGCAGGACAAGAAGCAATGGATGGAAACTAATCAAGGAGAGAAGCAAACTGGAACTAAGGAGACAGTTTATCAGTGGAAGAGCTTGCCTTCAGAAGTTGTGAGTGCTCCAACACAGGAAGTTTTTAAGAAGAGATTGGACAACCATTTTGTCCAGAATGGTATGGGGTCAGAGGGATGGACTAGAAGACCTCCAAGGTCCCTTCTAACTGTGTTATTCTGTTTGTTGGTCTGTTATAAGATGAATGATAAGGCAAGAACTGTTGCTGGCAGTTTTCTAGAAGAGGCATATTAGAAGGAGAGTGTAAGCAATGAGAAGAACATTTTAGATCCAGCATGAGAAGCTTTAAGCCTCTCAGATTTATTGCCTGTATTCTAATGAGATTCAATGCTAAACGGATTTTATTCCATTTACACCTCCCTTCTTCCCCATGAATGCAAACTAATGTGCAGATAGTTCTAGACTTATGACCATGCCTGATTTTATAACACTGTTTCCATGGTTGTTCCATGGCTTGTTTAGCAATGGAAGTTATGCTCCCAAACGTGATTATAAATTAAGGACTCTTTGTTCATGTATGTAATCCCATTACACGTGGTAACATTCATAAAAAACATAACAAAGCTTTCTTTAATTCCTTGAGTAGCCATGTACAGGTAATTCTTGACTTACGACCAGAATTGAAGCCAACATTCCTGTTGCTAAGTGAGACAGTTATTAAGTGAATTTTGACCCGTCTTACGATTTTTCTTGCCACAGTTGTTAAGTGAATCACTGTAGTTGTTAAGTTACTAACATGGTTGTTAAGTGATTCAAATTTCTCCATTGACTTTGCTTGTTAGAAGGTCGCAAAAAGTGATCACATGACCCCGGGATACTGCAACCGTCATAATATGAGTCAGTTGCCAAGCATCTGAATTTTGATAACGTGACCATGGGGAAGCTGCAATGGCCGTGTAAAAAATGGCCATAAGTCATTTTTTTTAGTGCCATTGTAACTTCAAATGACCACTAAATGAACTTCGTAAGTCAAGGACTATCTACATGCAGTAACTGTGATCATGTCTACCGAAATATACCTCTGCCTTTCTGCAGTTACTGTTAAGTATATAACATTACTTTGCTGAAAAAAAACACCTATTTTTCTGGATGAAAAACTATTAATTTGAAAATATAGAAAGGGAGATATTTCCTGGTTGCTGATATTTTTTTCCAAGCACGATATTTTTGTCAAGCAGGATGACAAGAGAAAATTTAACTTAGTGTGTAATTCCTTCCTTCCTTCCTTCCTTCCTTCCTTCCTTCCTTCCTTCCTTCCTAGAATTAAATCCTAAAGTACTATTTGAAACATACTTCAGTAGCTTTTTAGTGACCAAAACATCAGTCACAAAGATTACCTGTCCATCTGTCTGTCCATCTTTCCCCATTCATAGATTTTTTATTATTATTATTCCCAGCACACACGCTTATCTTGAGACTGACACCATCTGAATAAAGCTGGGCTGCTAAAGAAAAGGAGGCTAGAAGGATTGAGGGGGTGGAGGGCAGATAGGCCAGTGATGTCTAAAGCTGATTTCCTTTGTGCTAAAGAGCTTGGAGAAACTGTGATCAGCACAACCAAAATAGTCTCTCCTTTTATATGTGTGATATCCGGGTTGGTGCATCCATGACCATTAGGGGAGGCAAGGAGCGGGTTCAAAGGTCTTTCCCAAGCAGTCTATATAAGAAGGTATTGTGGGCACCTGCCCTTCCACTAGCTCAGTGGAGGCAAGAGACAACAGGCTAGTTCTAGCAGCATTGGTGAAGCTTTGTTAGGAAGGTGAGCGTCCAACCAAACGATGGGAAATAACAAGAGCGGGATGATCTCCAAAGAGGTCCTTGATGATCTGAAATCAAACACAAAGTTCTCCGAGGACGAGCTGGTTAAATGGTATGAAGCCTTCAAAAAACAATGCCCCGACGGGCGCATAGGTAAAGCTGAGTTCGAAAAGATCTACTCTACTTTCTTCCCCAACTCTGACCCCAAGGTCTATGCCCGGCATGTCTTCCGAAGCT